GCTCTAAGTCTAATGCTTTTACTACATCAATTTACCCTGCAACAAATCCTACTCCTTCGTACAAGCAAAATATCGATCCAAAGAACAGTTCAATTCCTGTACCGATTGAAAAGCAACGTATCGACCGTATCACAAAAAATATAAAAAAATCACAACAAAAACTGACAGTTGCAAAAAAAGCCAGAGCAGATGCTGTACAAAAGCCACATCTAGTTATAAATATCCAAGTTAATGTATGGGAAACACCATGCACGTACGAAAACCACAACCCAATTTTCTACGGCAAAGCCAAACGACTATTCCAATTGGTATTTGGAGAGTTCATTTGTTCAGAGCTAGCTTTAGCTGAAAGAGAGCAAGACTGGCTTTACACTATCGTACGACCTAAAGTCAAGCCTTTTTTTCTTGATTATTTCGACCTCAATGCATATCGTATGGAAGTAGTTGCAAAAATCAACGCAAAAGAGCTAATTCATCTACCAGAAGAGCCAAAGTCTGGTATTTTCGATCGTACAATGAATGATCTAATTGGTATCAAAGGGTATTTTTGTCCGAAGAGCACAACTACTCCTCGTACGACTATTCCAGTTCAAGTATGGAAATGTGAACCTTTGCCTAACAAACAGAGCTCAAAGCCAGCTCTTCCTGTCGAGCCTGCATACGACCCTATGGACGATAATACCTACTTGAACTTTGACAACGAAGATTTGGAAGCTTCTAGTGTTCCTTTATACGAAAATACCGTTCAAAGGCAATCCGAAAATCAACAGCTATATGGTACCCAAACCAACGAAATGTTGAATAATGAAGATCAAGAGGCGTACGATGGTGAAGACGAAAAGCTATATGATGACGAAACCCAGCTGTCGTACGATAAACCAGAACAACAGCTATACCCAAACCTCAGCACCGCTCAACTTTCTACATTGGATAACAGCCGTACGAAGCGACCTCACAGCCTTTCGTCTCCAATTCAAACCCAGAAAAAGGCAAAAGTTTCAAGCCAACTTCCTCTAGTTCCAGATATTACAAATCGTCATACGATTGTAATCAGCAGCAGTTCTGAATCAGAAGATCTTTACGATTATATCCGTCGTACAGCAAAAGAGCGTGCTCGACAAAAGCAAATCGATAATCAGGTCGTTCGTACGGATAGCCAACTTATTAAGCAAGAGCAAGTCGATGATCAGGTCTTTCGTACAGCACATCAGCCTGCCGAGCAGCAGCAGGTCGATGATCAGGTCTCTCGTACAGCACATCAGCCTGCCGAGCAGCAGCAGGTCGATGATCAGGTCTCTCGTACAGCACATCAGCATGTCGAGCAGCAGCAAGTCGATGATCAGGTCTCTCGTACAGCACATCAGCCTGCTAAGCAGCAGCAGGTCGATGATCAGGTCTCTCGTACGGCACATCAGCCTGCTAAGCAGCAGCAGGTCGATGATCAGGTCTCTCGTACAGCACATCAGCATGCCGAGCAGCAGCAAGTCGATGATCAGGTCTCTCGTACAGCACATCAGCCTGCTAAGCAGCAGCAGGTCGATGATCAGGTCTCTCGTACGGCACATCAG